CTTTAAAAAAAATTTTGTTTTTGCAGTACCACAGATTAAACCTCAGGGTTTGTACTGAACTATATGCCCAACCTTTCTAAAATTTTTTAAAATTTTGAGGCCAGATCTTGGTAAGTTGCCTAGACTAGGCTTGAATTTGTGACCCGCCTGCCTCAGCTCCCAGAGTGCTGAGATCACAGGTGTGTGCCACCATGCCTGTATCAGCTTTCTCATTTGGGAAGGGGGATGGCAATGAGTATTGTCACCAAGAGTACATGAGATGGTGCTGGTGAAGTCCTTGCGTGGTGTTGGGCACAGCTTTCCATGGAGTCCTCAGGAGCCCCAGCCTGCTCCTAGACAGAAGGTAGAAGTGGGAAGATCAGCACCTAAATTCCCAGTGTTCCTCCCATCCACCTCCAGTCTGTGACCTCTTGGGCAAAGCCCACAAATCCCTGCTGTTGGCCAAGCCAGGTCCTAGGAGTCCTTCCTGATGCCCTGTCCCTCACCCCTACAGCCACCACAGCCCGCCATGGTGTGGCCTTCCAACAATTTCCCGTTGCTGTGGTGAAAATCACCCCACATGGAGGGGCTAAAGCCACCCCAGGTCACCTTCTTCCCATGCTGGAGTCCACAGTTTCTATTGCTGGTGAAAGTCAGGGTGTCGCAGGGTGTTCCCTCGCCCCTCCAGCCCCTAGAGGTCGCCTATGCACCTTGGCCCATGGCCCCTTCCTTCCTCTTTGAAGCCCAAGCTGGTAGATGGTGACTCATCTTCCGCTTCTCTCTTACTCTTGGCTCCTCCTGCTTTTCATCTTGTCTGCTCCTCAGATCCTGACCTTCCTGTCTTCTTCTTTGTGGACTCTTGGATCATACTGGGTCCAGCCGAGAAGGCAGATCATCTCCCTATCACAGACCTTTAGTCCTATCTGCAGCCCCCTCTGCCACGTAAGGCCACATTTGCTGGGGTCTGGGGTCAGCATGCAGACTTCTAGGGGAGGTGTCCTGTCTTCTGGGGCATAGCAGTGGAGCTTGACCCAGGCCTGAGAATTTCACACTCTTGTTGAACACATGGTGCTGTGGCATACAATTCACCATATACTCCCCAGTAGAGAGCAGTTTTGATAATTCAGTCACATTCCCAAAGTTTATACATGATGCTTAATGCCTTCTGAGAAATTCTGAGTATCTTCCTTTCTTTTTCCATTCCTGCTCTGTCTGGGCTGCATTATTTTTTTTACCCAATTATTTTTTATTAGTACGTGTTTGCATTATGTACCATTTACATTCCCTGTGGGGAGTTGGTTCCTGTACATTGATGGAGGAGGTAGGGCGTGGCAAAGCTGGCTGGGGAAATAAGCAGGATCTGTCAACAAGAAGATCCCAGGACAGTGCCGGATAATTCCAGGACCCCACATGTTGAACTTCTCTCTGCTTCCTTTGAGATGTGGACAGTGTAAGAGATGAGACACTCCAGGAGCCCACTATCCTGACTCTTCACAGTACCCAATCTGTGTCTTCTAGACCAGGGTGCACTTTTATTTTTGCTTTTACCCTTTCCTCTCTTTGTTTGCCCTAAGTTTGCTCTACAGAGCCAGTTCTTTCCTTACCCCTTTACCCCTCACTTTTCAAATAAACTTTTGGCACCATTTTTGGCTTTTCTTGTCCAATTCTTTGTTCAAGGCAAGAAGGACTTGGAATACTTTTAATTGGTGAGTCATTTCCAAAGGAACTGCCTGACAACACTGTGATGCATCTCAATTATTTTTTCAACCCTTTCTCTCCCTCTTCTTCCATCTCTGGTCCCCTTCCCATTTGAAAAAGATCTATCTCCCTACTTCCTATTACCTATTATTATTATTTTTTTGTACTGGGGATTGAACTTGGGACCTTGCACTTGCAAGGCAGGCATCAGAATCACTGAGCTAAATCCCCGGGCCCCTATTACCTATTTTTATTTTGCTCTTTATTTATATTTTGAATTTCTCATATAAGCAATATTTAAGCTTGTGTGCCTGATTTATTTTACTTAGCATCATGGTTTTAAGGTGCATCTGTTTTCCTATAAATGACTCGTTTATCCTTTTGTATGACAGAATAGTACTCCATTGTGTGTAAATACCACTTTTTCATTCTTTATTCATCTGTTGATGGGCCTATAAGCTGCTTCCAAGATTTAGCTGCAGATACTCCTTGTTTAATGACCAAGTTATAGTCCACGACTGGGTTGTTAACTGAATTGGTCGCTAAACAAGGAATCGTATATAGTATGAACATTACAATATTCAGAACAAAGAGATGGCTGAAGGGAACTTGCCTGCAGTACTGTGATGTATAACTGTACAGTACCGTCAGCAAAAATTACAGCACTGTGGAAGAAGCCACCACAGGGCCACAGTGCCGCTCACATTCCTGCATCATAAATCTGAATGAAGGCCATAAGTCCAAACAGTGTGCAGCGATCTCAAGCCCAGAAACGGTTAAATGGGTAGGTCATTAAACAAGGATGTTCTTAACCTTTCGTGAAGATACCTCGAGGGGAATGGGTGAGTCCAAAGCCATTTCTGGTTTTAGTTTTCGGAGGAATCTCCATGCTGATTTCCATAATGGTTGTTCTCCTTTCCATTCCCTCCCAGGTTGTAGGATTCCTTTCCCCTGCCGCAGCTGCTGTAGCAATTGTTATTACTTGATTTCTTGATGGTCACCTTTCTTTTTGGGGTGGATGGAATCTCGGTGTTGAATTTGCATTTCTCTCATGGGGGCCACATCATTCTTGGTCTAGGTGAACTCTGGACTGTCACGGTGGCCTCTTCACCTGGCCTGCTCCCAGCCACCTTCACTCAGCTGCTGGCCAGCGACCCCAGCCATTGCTTCTCTACTGAACCTTCCATGGCTCCCCATTGCCCCCTGAATAAAATCCTGAGAACCCCCACCTTGGCACAAGGGCTTCCTCCAAGGCCTTTGCCGCCTTGCTGGCGTTTGCTACTCTGTGCCGGGCTTTTCAGGCACTGTTCTGGATTAGCACCACAACTCTGCATCTTGGAAAACTCCTCAGTCTAGGGCAAACCAGGATGCCTGGTCTCTCCACCTCACCTGGGCCTCCGCTCTACAGCACCTGCGTTGGAGTCCCTGCCACAAGGGTGCTGTGACTTGGCTCCTGCTTTCCCTCAGACAGGAAAGTAACCCCTTTGCTTTTGCCTCTCGTGTCTATGAGGACTGTGCTGAGCTGCGAGTAGCTGAAGACCTACAGTGGCCAAAGCAAACGCAGATGTCTTTATTTATGATTTTACACGTAGCAAGACATGCAAAGGAGATGATTGGTGGGCTCAGATCTGCAGCTTGATGGAGTCGGAGCAATTGTCTCCCCACAAATTGGCTGCCTTAGCACCAGCTGTCACATCCACATTCAAGGCAAGGAAGGGATAGTGCAGCATCAACTGGGCCAGACCCCTTTTTATGAGGAAACATTTGGTTTTTCAACAGACTTCTCCTTACACTGCAGGATGGTAGACAGTGGTGGTCAGGTGAGGGTCTCTGTAGCCAGATCACCAAAATTTGCATCCTAGCTCCACTCCCTTGTAGTTAAGCCACCTTGGGAAGTTACTGCCTGCCCCCTCAGTTTTCTCATCTTTAAAATAAAGACAATGCTTTTATTTTTAAAATTGTTTTCTATTACCAGAGATTGAACCCAGGGCCTTCGCACTGAGCCACATCCCCAATCCTTGGGGACCTTATATCAAAATTTTAAGACCCAGCTTGGACGTCACCACTTCCATGTAGCTGCCCTGGGTTTCTGCTGCCGGTTGATGCTGGTTTAAGGCCCTCATTTCCATGTTCCTGGCCTGTGCTTCTACTTTTACATTCACGCCCTGGAATACGGTGCGCAGTCCCAGGTGTGTGTCCCACAGAGCAGGGTCTCGTTGGAACCATCCTTGGGTTCCCAGCACCGAGCTGTGCTGGCTCCTTGTAGGCCCATGCTAACTCCTGGGAATCTGTTGGAGTCGTGCCTCCCCCCATGCCCCAGAGCCCCAGTAGGGTGGGGAAGGGGTGATTCACCGGCCGTCAGAGCAGCTGGAGCCGAGGGCCCTGTGAGGAGATCAGAGGCTGGGTGGGAGCACCGGTAAGTCACCTGTTCTCAGGAGCACCCCAGACCCCAGTGGCCAGGGGCAGAGAGGCCACCTGGATGCCCCTGCTGGACACTGGGCCTTGTACACTGGGCTCAGTGCTCACCCGTTGGCCTTGCAGCCCATGCTTTGCTGGCTGTCTGTTCCTGGGACCTTGTACAGCTCTCTTTCACTCTGGGCCTCAGTTTCCCCACCTGTCTCATGCAGTGAAAGCTTTTCCTGTGACTGTGAGAACAGCATTGCTTTCCTCCCTCCTGTGCCCCCAGAGGGCAGAGCTGGGGTCCCCTCCTCCTCCTGGGCCCTCCCAGGTCAGCAGCTGTGGGGGGTGTGCTGGGGGCAGGGGTGCCAGTGGCTGTCCCTGAGCTGTGGGTCTCCCGTGGCCCAGCCTCTCTGGGAGGTCCCCAGGGAATCCCGCCAGACTCCTCCATGGGGGCAGGATGGGAGAAGCCCTGATCTGGTCAGACATGCTGGGTCAGAGTTTGAGACAGAGGGACAAGAGTATACAGTGTCGTGTGTGTGTGTGTGTGTGTGTGTGTGTGTGTGTACTAGAGATTGAACCTGGGGCCTCCACACTGAGCTACATCCCCAGCCCTTTGTGATTTTTAATTTTGACACAGAGTCTTGCTAAAGTGTTAAGTTGTCCAGACTGGATTTGAGCTTGTGATCCTCCTGCCTTGGGCTTCCAGAGTGCTGGGATTACAGGTGTGCACTCCACCCCCAGCTTGGAGTGTCCCCAGTCCTGTCCTCAGGCTACCCACCTGGTCCCCAGAACCCCTGCCCCTCTGCTCCCCCATGGCTCCCTCCAAGGCACCCCCAGCCTGGCTGAGGGATCCTTTCTTTCCCCTGGCGTGGGTGGGGTGGCCCCCAGGGAGCCCGGGAGCTGCAGGGAGACAAAAGATCAAGGTCCAGGCACAGCGGTTTATTGTTGCAGGGTTGGTGGCCCAGGCTTCTGGGGGAATCACAGCTGCAGTTTCTGTAAGAGCAGGGGACAGGTGAGGGGCTTCCTGCGGGTTGGGAGGGTGTGATAGGCAGGCACCTGGGGCAGGGGGCGGGGGCAGCTGGGGTGAGTGAGCCGGGCTGCATGAGCGAGTGGCACCGGTGGGGGGTGAGGGGGCGGCACCCACCTGGTTGATCCAGTCGATGTAGGCTGACACACGGGTGAAGACCACCGGCTTCTGGCGGGTGTTGCAGCCCAGCGGGGAGCCAAAGCTGACGATACCCTGCACCTGCCAGGACCCGTTCTCTGCTTGGCAGTTCAGCGGGCCACCCGAGTCGCCCTGCATCAGGCAGATGTGTGAGCCCCGGGCCTCCCGCTGGGGCAGTGGGCAGGGGGGTGGGGGCTGGCCTGTCAGCCTCAACTCTTGTTTTCGCCTCAGCTGGCTGCTTGGCCTCGTTCTGGGAGGCCCTGGGTGTCAGACTAGCTCTTGGTTTGGCACGTGATCCTGGGATGATGCCAGCTCTCCTGGTGCCTCAGTTTCCCTGGATGTTCAGGCCACCATGCCTAAGCCTCTGTGAGCTGCCCGGACTGTGGGGGGAAGCTGGGAAGTGAGGTGGATGGGGTAGCGAGAGGAGGGTGCGTTTGGAGACAGGGTGGTCCCTGGTTATTTTAGGTGTTGCAAGGTTCTGGCCAGACCCGATTCCCCTGTCCCCAGGGCTGGTGCTGTGGATAATGGCAGGACTGTGTTCAAGGACTTCCCTCATGCCTTTTCTGTGGCTCTTTGATTCACTCAGCTCTCACTTCACCTCTGGGAGGTAGTTCCTGTGGCCCAGTTGTACAGATGGGAAAGCAGGTTCAGAGAGCTTCACCAGCCTGCCTGCAGTGACAGTTACATGGCAGCCCTGGGCCTGGAACTCAGCTCCTCATGCTCAGCTCCCTGGGTCTCACTGCAGCTGGGCCAGGGCAGAGGCTGAGTGGAGGGGAGGGATTTCTCCCAAGCCTGCTGGGTCTGTGCAGGCCTCAGCTACCTCCCAGGGAAGGGTTTGCTAGCACACCCTGGTTAGTGTCCTCCCTGTGCTCATCCACCAGGCCACCCAGAGTGAGGCTGGGGTGCAACCTGCCGGGACACTCACATTGCAGGCAGAGATGACACCATCGCCGCCGGCGCAAATCATATTGTTTGTCACCCGGAAGCCCCACCAAGTCCACTTGGAGCATGTGGCATGGTCCACCACGGGCTGCAGGCCCTGCTGCAGCACCTCGGCAATGGGGCCGTTGGCTGGGGAGAGAGGGTCAGTGAGCGGGTACTCAGCTAAGCAGGGGGCCCAGGCCTGCAAGGGGCAAAGGCCGGGATAGGATATAGCCGGGTGCTGGCTTCGAGAGGAAGAAAGCCTTCAAGGGATAACTGTCTAGTTGGGTTGTCTTTCACTTAGATTTTGAGGGGTTTTTATTTTTACTTTTTGGCAGTACTAGGGATTAAATCAAGGCCTTTGGACTGAGCTACACTCCATCCCTTTATTATATTTTTTACTTTGAGACAGGGTCTCACTAAGTTACTGAATTGCTAATTTGCCCAGGCTGGAGATGAGCTTGCTATCCTCCTTCCTCAGCCTCCTAGAGGGTTGGAATTGCAGGTATGCACTACCATGCCTGCTTCTTCTTCTCCTTTTAGTGCTGGGGAGGGAACTCAGGGCCTTGCACCTACTAGGCAAGCGCCCTTGCCCTGAGCTTGGTGTCCAGCTGCTGGATGCTAAGGGTTTACCTGTCAGTTATTTCCTGGTGGATCTCTGCCTTTGGTAACCACCTTGCAAGGCCTTTCTCACCCCAAGTTATTCTAAGGATTGATCTGTATATCCCTAAGGCTTCTGTAGTTTCATTTCTTTGCATTTAATCTTTGAATTCAGCTGGAGTTTCTTTGGACATATGGAAAATCATACGATCTAATCCCCCACCCCCAGATGATTTATTATAGTTTATTTTTATGAAATTTACCACATGCCAAGCCCTTAGCCAATTCTGATCTATTTGTTCTTTAGAACACCTGTGACATGCACTCGATAGTGTCTGTCCCACGGCATGTACTTAAAAATATTAGCTGTTATTATTACAAAACTTAAAACGATGGGAATGCATTGGGAGTGGTGGATGGGGTGTGCCGGCTGTCGGAGACGCCTCCTCTGGGAAAGCTCTGGGGTGTCCGGGTGTGGGGGGGCTGTACTCACTCCACAGGCGGCCCCAGCCAGTGACGTAGCAGGGATAGTCCTGGGGCAGCAGGGCACCCTCCTTGGGCAGGCAGGCCACCTGGATGGTGTCGCTCAGTTCCACGGGCTCCTCCAGCTTGATGATGGCGATGTCGTTGCTGGAATCCAGAGTGAGGGGGTGAGTGGGAAGGGGTCCTGGGCTGGAGTCAGCGTGGTGCAGCCAGGATGTGCGCCAGGGTCCTCTGGAATGTGCAGACCGCTGTTGCCAACTGGCCAGCCATGATGTTGGAGGACCACTGACCATGCCAGCACCCACAGGTTCTCCTTTTCCGGCCACAATGTCGTGAGAGGCTTAGTGGGAAGGAGCAGAGTGGAAGATGTGTCTGTCTGACAAGGAGCTAGGCGGGCTGGGATTACAGTGATAACGTCGAGGCAGCCACTGATACCTTTTTAATTTCTTCCCCGAACTGGGGATTGAACCTTGTGCCTCCCACTTGCTCAGCCACTACATTCAGAACTACATTCCCAGCCCTTTTAAAATTTTTATTTTGACACAGGATCTCACTAAGTTCCCCAGGCTGGTCTTGAACTTTCGATTCTCCTGCCTCCGCTTCCTGAGTAGTTGAGGTTACAGGTGTGCACCACTGCACCTGGCACCAGATGCCATTTAAATATTTTCAGTTATCAGAACAAAAGCTAAACAGACCTAGACAGACCTGGTTTGATTCCTAGTTTTTTGTTTTGGTACCGGGGATCGAACTCGGGTCCTTGCGCAGGCAGCGAAACCACTGAGCTAAATCCCCAGCCCTTGATTCCTAGTTTTGCCCTGCACTGGGCTGTGTGACCCAGGACCTTGTCCTCACTCTCTCTGAATCATGGTTCCCTGTCCCTGGCCAATGTAGATGAAGTAAGAGGCAGCACTCCATAAAGGAGGGTCCCAGCTCAGCCTCCGGCTAGGCAGCCTCAAGCAGGACACTCTGGGGACCTTGGAGGCCCCTCGCCAGTGCTACAATGGGAGGTGTCATCTGCACTCGGCATCTGCACTGCTCGTCAGAGCCAGCTTGTCTGTGCAGTGTGTGGACAGGGCACCCTCGCCCTTCACTGCCTGGTCCTGGGTGCCTGGGCAGCTGGCACTCACCGCACCAGGAGGGTGTTCCATTTCTCATGGACGTGGATGGAGTCCACGCCTGCAATCACCGAGCCTGCTTCATCTGCCACCGTCAGGTCGCTCTTGCCCAGGGCCACACGGTAGGTCAGGGATTTGCTGGTAGCAGAAGAGACTGGGTCAACGTGGAGTCAGCCCCTCGTTCTGACCCTTTGGAGGATGAGGGGAAGGACTCGAGCCTCTGGCTCATGCTGTGGCCTTGCTGCTGCCGCTGGGAGTCCTGGTCCTTAGTTTCCTCATCTGGGAAGTGGGGCAGTGTTGGTACTCAGGTCTCAGGGCCCCTGCAGGTGACGGAGTCCAAGCTGCCTGGCCTCTTGCTGTCTCCATAGCGCACTGGCTACCTCATTTTCTCTGCTCTGCCCTGGTCTCCTTTTTCCCCCCCATTTTTATTAGGATGTTTTGAAGCACACAATGTTTACATTCCTCTTGTGGGATTGGTGCGTGTACTAAATTTGTCATTAATAAGTTTAATTTTTTTCTTGCAGTACTAGAGATTGAACCCAGGACCTTGGGTATGCTAGGCAAGTGCTCTATAGCTGAGATACATCCCCAGCTCCCCTGACCTCTTTAAAGCCTGTTCTCAAGTCAGCTGGGTGAACTTCTTAAATAGACAGCAAGCTAGGCATGGTGGTCCACACCTGAAATCTCAGCACTCAGGAAGCTGAGGCAGGAGGATAGACACAAGTTAAAGACAAGCCTGGGCTACATAGTGAATTCAAGGGCAGCCTAGACTACATATTGAGACCCTGCCTTAAAAAACAAAACAAAACAAAACAAAATGAGGCCGACCACGTGTGTGCTGGCTCTGAACTCCAGGGTGGCTCCTACTCTCAGGCTCCAGAGTGAGGCTCTTACATAAACCTGCAGCATGTGACACTCCTGTCCTCCCCTGCCACACTCTGTTGCTGCCATGCAGCTTCCTGGCTCTCCCCTCTGCCTTTGCTCCTGCCACCTGGATCACCTTCCTTCCCCAGACCCGTACCTCCTTCTGCTCCTTCCCCCATGTTTCTGCTCGAATGTTCCCTGCAATCTCATCTCTGGTAGACCCCTCATCCTTTCCTTCCTCTTCTGGTCTCTCATTCATCTTGTCACTGCTTGATAACTTTATAATTTACTTGGCTAATTGTTTCCCTGACTGTCTTCTCTGCTGTGTTTCCTGGCACATAGGAATGTGCACAAGGAATGTCTGTTGATCTCGTGAATGAAGAACTGAGTTGCTGGATGTAGGTGCTCAATAAAAGCAGCTGGCTCAGACTCCTGCCCCAGGGTGATGGCAGGGTCCCAGGCCATGAACTTACTTGATGCAGTGGGCGGCGGTGAGGACATGCTGGCTGCTGATCAAGGAGCCGCCGCACGTGTGCCTCCACTCACTGTCCTTGAGGTACTGCAGGGAGATCTTTGGGCGGACAGGGGACCCCGAGTCAGGCCACACTTGGGTCACCCGCCGCCCCATCCCTACCATGCCACAACGCGCTCACCTGCCAGGGCCAGCTGTGGGCTACAGCATCATCTCCCCCAACCACCCTGGCCGACACATTGGGCAGGAAGCTGGGGACTCCGCAGCTGGAGGCTAGGGGGTGGGAGGGGCGCACGTGAGGGGGTCAGCTGGTCAGACAAGGCTGTGACTTTCAGTGTGTGGCTTGGGGGCGGACCACCTAGGTCTCTGGGCCTCGACTTCCCTTTCTGCAGAGTGGGGGCATGTCACCAACTTGGCGAGTTTGTCCTGAGAGCTACATCAGACAGGCATTGAGAGTACAGAAGCTCAGTGCATGATGGATGGTTCCGAGGGGACGGAGACAGCAGGCAGCTGGCATATGTGGGTGCTGGGGACAGCTGGTCCTTTGGTCCCTTTTTAGGGCACAGGGTAGTGGGGAGATGGGTGGATATGAATCCGGAGTGCTCTGTGGGGAGACACCTGGCTCCGCCTAACCAGCCATGTGATCCTGGGCAGACATCCCGACTCCTGAGCCTCAGTGTCCTCACTGCAAACTGGGGACACACATGGACCCTGTCTTTCGAGGTTGCCTTGAGGATCACATTAGCTCCAGCCTGTGAAGGGCTCAGCCCAGCGCCCTGCACATAGCAAATGCAGAGTAAACAGGAGCTGCTATTATTACTGTTATCGTTGCTATTGTTGGCTGGAAAGAGTCTTAATTAAGTGCTCTCATTTCCCTAAAAGCCAGTGAGATTGAGAGGCCAGGGACTTGAACAGCTCCTGCAGAGAGCAACGGACTTTTAGCTGGGACCTTGGTTCCAAAATGGGGGAGCAAAGACCGCAGGGAAAGGTGATGCTTCTGTGTCTGGGCCTTGCCCAGGGCTTCCCGTGTCCCATCCCCAAGCCACAAGCCTTTGGGGAAAGTGCTCACTGGCCCTGTCCTGCAGGGCAGAGGCTCATGGGACAAACAGCTGCTCTGCAGCAGGGCCCACACTCTGCATTTCCTGCAGAGCTGAGGGCCCCGGCCACTGGGGTCCCACCCCTGCTTACCAAAGGCCAGGACTGCAGCGAGGACGGCGATGCCCAACATGGTGCAGGTGGCGGGACTGCCTGGGTGTCAGGGCACTTATAGGCCCGAGCAGGAGAGGCCTGAAGTGTCAAGGCCAGGCCACTTCGGGAAGAAACCTGCTGGACAAGGCCATTTCTCTGACCTTGGGTGGTTACTGTTTAATTTGGGCAAAGAAACAGGGATGGCTAGGAAGCATGGCTTTCCAAATATCCCCGGACAGACCACATTCTGAGGAGCTGCATTTTGAGGGGCTACCTTGCCATGCTTGGAGTGCATTCTTGTTTCCCTCCCTACCTCATTCTCTGTAGTTATTGATCAGGCATCTGCTAGGTATGAGCCAGCTGGTGCTCAGTGGTTCTTGCATGATCTCTTCTGGAAGTTTTTTGAGTTGGCTACCCTGTGCCCCTTAGGAATTGTTTCCTCATAAAAAAAGAAGTGCTAGGTACCTGGTTAGCTGGGGATGAGGAGGATTTTAACTTGCAAGTTTTACACAGTTTAAGATCTTTTTTGAAAACGGAATGAATTACTTTGTTAATATAAAATCAATGAGCTCGATTAAAAAATAGCCATAGAAGGGGAAAAAACGGCCCAGAGATGGGGCTGTGTGAGGGTGTGGGGCCTGGCCCGGCCTGGGCACTGGGCTCTCAGGCTTCCTGTTCATGGCAGAGGCTGGCCCTCATAGAGGGGCTGCTGGGAGCTACTGGGCTCACCTCTGTGCTGTGTGTTGAGCTGCACACTGAACAAGAGGACAGGGCTGAGATCACAGCCTGGTGGAAGGAGACAGGGTGCCTGGTCCCCGTATCAGCCAGTGAACAATCAACCCCAGCCCTGGGCGACCTTTTTGGGCCTCACACTGTACACACACTTGAAGCTCTGGATCCAGGGACGCTCACATGCACAAGTCACCCACAGGAAGCATCCAGGTATCCGCAGACACACACAGAGCCGTGTCCCGCATGTTAACATGACATAGACAGCGATAGCCCCCACTGCATTGGGAAGGTGGCACCAGAAGAAGAGAGCTGTTTTTTTTCAGTGTTTACAGAGAAACTGAGCCTTTTTTGGAGGTAAGGAGGTTGCTGGCTGCTCGTGATTTAGGGTAACTTCCTTGTTCTGAGATGTCTACCAGCTAGGGCCCTTGTGGAAGGCAACAACAAACAGTTGTCCCCAAGAAACCCAAGGCCGCCTTCACCTGCTGCAGATGCTGAAGACAGGATGTGAGTGAGGGCTTTTGCAGGGCTGGGCTACTCCACGAGGGAAGGAAAACCTAGCATCACTGCTTTCCAGCTGTGTGACTTTGTGATTGTGACTTAAACTCTCTGGGTTTATTGTCCCTCATCTATAAAGTGGAGGTAGCCAAGCATTGTGGTGCATGCCTGTAATCCCAGCAAACTCGGGAGGCTGAGGCAGGAGGATCACCATGAGTTCCAGGCCACCCTTGGCTACACAGTCAGTTCAAGGCCAGCCTGATCTACACAGTGAGACCCTGTCTCCAAAAAACAAAAAAAGGACTTGCCTCCTCGGGCTGTTTGAGAAGTGTCTGACATAAGGTAGAAACTATACAGGGTTTTCTGTTGTTATTAGGTCCTTATGAGAAAGCTTGAGTCTGAGCTAGGCGTGGTAGCACACACCTGTAATCCCAGCTACTTAGGAGGCTGAGGCAAGAGGACTGGAAGTTCGAGGCCAGCTTGGGCAACTCAGCAAGGCTCTGTCTCAAGATAAATTAAAAAGGACTGGGATGATTCACAGTAGTAGAGTGGCCCTAGGTTTGACCCCTAGCATGGAAAGAGAGAGAGAAAATTAATAAGAGAAACTTAACTGTCTTCAGGCCCCTTACCCTTCTTCAGCTCCTTCCTCAAAATATATTAAAAGTTATATTTTATGATTATTTGATTATAAAGTCATAACTTTCTTCCATTGATTTTAAAGAACTCAAGACATTTTGGTGGCCCTGGGGTTGGCTCCTGTACCTGTCAAGTGGACGGTGGTCCCATGCAAGGTCATCTGTGACCAGATGGCCTTGAGGTTGGACACATGATGTGGTCTTCCCCGAACCTCCTCTGGGCCTGACATGCATCCCGCAAGCCCCAGCAGCCGGAAGAAAACTGCTCTCGCCCGAGCCTCGGGGCAGCAGGACCTGACCAGGTGACACTGGTCAGAGGGTGCTTGACACTGGGTTGGCTGATGCAGGAGCAGCCTGGGCCGGGTAGGCAGAAGGGAGCCCTGGGAAGATGGCTTCCTGTGACCCCAGAAGCCAGAGCTCCAGCTGGATTCACTTGTGCATTTAGGGTTAGGATTTTTGTTTGCCTGACTGTGAGGTGCCAGGATGCTGTGTGTACAAAAGCATGAATCCATGCATTCCTGTGTGCGGCAGGCCCTGTGCTGGGCCTGGGCACCCCGAGATAAGATCTTGTTCAGCCTCTGGGGACTCTTTGGAGGGACAGGCCAAGGGCCGGGGCTCTGAGAGTCGTTCGGGGTGGCAGCTGGAGGGTGCAGGCCAGGAGGAGTTTCCTTCTCTGCAGATTCTGAGTGCACAGTGAATCCCACTCCATACAGCTGAGCCCTGGGGTTTCCGGGGCCTGGGCAGAGCCTCCCAGGACCTCAGCCACAGTGTCACTGAGCTGTCAAGGACAGGCTGTGCTGGAAAAATAAGCACAAGAAATGTGGCAGAGGTTGGTCAGATGGTGCCCTGGGGCCTTGGCAGAGCAATGCCAAGGTTGGGTAAGGGCCTGAGAAACCAGCAGGTGCCACTGACAGGGCCATGTTTGCTGGCCGCTAGGACAGGACCCAGGTGGCAGCTGCTGCCTCTCAGATGAGGCCCGTGGAGGGGGTTGGGGTTGGCAGAACTTCCCCTCAAAAGCAGATGAAAACCCTAGGGGATCAAAGGGGGTTTGGAGACAGGGCTGGGGCTGGAATGGGGGAGCAGGGAGGCTTAAGGAGAAGATGGGGCCTGGGCAAGGTTCTAAGGAGCCAAGTTTCCTGGTCCCTGGATCACTTGCTGCCTTTTCATTTTTCAGCGCCTCCTGCCAGGGCTGGCAGTGGGGTGTTTGTTGTGCAGGCTGATCCTATTGGGGAGACCCTGGCCTAGGCAGTAGCCCCATCTCTCTGATTCTAAGGGCTCGAGGCTGTGTCCAGAAAGCACCAGGCTGGCTGGGTGTGGGTTTGCAGCTGCAGCTGGCCCTGTAGTTTATCTGTCTCTGAAGAACTTCCTGCCGGGATGCTAGGGATTCTGTGGTCCTTCCTTTGGGTGAGGCAGACTAATAAAAGACTTAGCCTTGTCTTGGATTGGTGGTAGTGGAATCTCAGACATGGAGTGCCGTGTGTGTGGGGTGCTGTGCTCCACAAAGGCACCTCCAGCCTTCCCTAGGCAGGGCCCTGAGGAAGCCAGAGGCTGCTGCAGTACCAGCTATGGCCACCCAGGGGTAGTGGTGCCTAGCTTAATCCCCAATCCCTCCTTCCCACCCTACCTTCCAGAGAGGACCTTGAGACCCTGGTCTGCCTTGGATTGAACAGACAGAGAGGCCTGGTGGGCACCTGATCTACCTAGACTCGCACAGGGAGCTTCTGGTCCCACTCCTGGGAGTTGCCAGGTGCCAGTGCATTAATGCCGAACTCTGTAGTCCCAATGCCACTTAGAGATAGAGTGCCCATTTACTGTCCTGAGCACTTTAGGTGAATGGTCCTGTCCAGTGCTAACCACCATGGGGTCAGTGGTGTTGTTAATATTTGAGAGGTGCAGAGACCAAGGGGGAGACAGGTCTGGAGATGCAGCTTTTTTCTCTGGCACCTCGGGGGAAGACACAGGCTGGGAATGGGTAGCCTGGGCCTGTGCCCTGTGCCCCACTCCCATGTGCCACTGGACTTTTCAGTTCTCTTGCCTCAAAGAGGAATAAAAGCAGCACCCCTGCCATGGGCTGGCTGGAGAATCGATTAATGGGCAGAGGGCTTCATGTAGGCACCAAAGCCCAACTTCTCCATAGGGAGAACCCCGTCTTCCCCACACCTCAGGCATGACTCCCCACACTCAGATGACTTCATCCTATCCCCTTCTTTCCCTGCCCTCCGCCCCACTAACCAGCAAGAACCACACACACATAAGAATATAGAATTTTATCTTATTTTAGTTAAAAAAAATAATCGTACCACCGAATGAAGAAGTAGCTTTTTTGGGGGGAGGGTGAGAAGGAATGAAAAAAAAATATAAAAAGCCAAAAGCCAAAAGAAAAAGGAGATTTATATTCATCTGTATAAACATATCTGCTAAGGCAAACGCAATCCAGGGAGAAGGCTGCGCACGGGCTAGGCACCGCCGACGTTCTGCAGGTTCTGAGGCCACAAAAATAAAACCTCTTTGAGTCCCGAGGGAGCTCCGGGCGCTCCGGGGGAGTATACTAAAATAAAGAGTTATCGATTGATCGAGTTTAAAAAGCGTGACGCTGTCATGACGCACACCGAAAGTTGCATAACTGTGGCCTTGAAGGCCGTTCACTTGTCTGGACTGGGTTCACTTGTCTGGACTGGGTGACGGTCACAGTTTCACGACACAGCAAGACAGACGGACACACACAGACACACACACGTGAGCGAGTGCATGGGGGGGCTTGGCCCATCTGGCGATGGCATGGGGGCCCCCATGTGTCCTAGGGGCAGGTGTGACAAGCAGGAGCCGCTGGTGACAAAGCGGGGGCATCCCTTGGGAAGGAGGGTGTGAAAGGGGCCAGGCCCTGCTCCCCGCAGTGGTGCAGACACTTCCAGCCCATCTGGGGGGGCCCAAGGAGTGGGGGTGGCGCCAGTCTCCTTCCTAGGGGCCCAGACCTTCCTCCATACCCTTCTCCCTCCACAGCCCCCCAGGACCTTCAGGGCATGTTAGGGAGCAGTGTTTCACCCCATGAGGCCTGGCAGAGTGCAGGCCGGTGAGGTAGATTGGCACAGTGACCCCTCACCCTGCCGGGCTGGGCCCCATCTCCATATCATCGTGGAGTGCCAGGGCCTGGGTCCCTTCACCAAAATACCCTTCCCATCCAGCAGGCAGAGGGGCAGAGCTGGAGGAAAGGCCCTGGGGTGGGGTCTTGTGCCTGCTGTGGGCCCCATGGGTCCTGCTGTAAGGCGACAGCAGTGATCCTTCTTGTGTCTGCTCCTCCCGTCCGGTAAGGGGCAGTGGGGGGCTCAGCCTGCTGGTTAGAACAGGTGGATGGGACAGGGGATGGGTGAGGGGGCAGGCAGGCACGTGAGCACAGAGGAACCTTGGGCCAGGGTTGGGAGGTGCAGGGGTGGCCAGGGAGGCTGGGCCAGGCAGGGGTGGCACTAGGGTTGCAGCCGCAGGATCAGCAGAAGGGAACAGGCAGTGGCCGGGCAGTTTGAGAGACCCCTGGATGAGCTCCATTCACAATTTAGGTTTTCAGTAGCGGACTGTGCTTGCCTCCCACGCATACCCTCCCCCTCTTTCGCCTGCCTGCGCGGCCAGGACAGGGCCAGGCAGTGGCTGTGGCCTGTCTACTTGAAGGTGGACTGCAGCTCCTTGAAGGCCGCTTTCCGCTGCTTCAGCTCCTCTGCCTGCTTCTTCCTCTCCTCCTGCTCCGCCTTGATCTCCTCCTCAAAGCGGCTGGACACATTGATGGCCTGCACCTGGGGGCGGGTGGAGTCAGAGCCAGCAGGGCCTCCATACCCATCCTTTCTGCACCCCTTGGCCAGCCTGGTGAGCTGTGATGAGCTTTCTGAGCCTCAGTTTCTCCATTTGGAACCTGGTACCCTGCAGCTCTCCCCAAGCCAGGGCTGAGGGTCAGTGTCCCCAAGGGGACATGCAGTTCCAGACCTGCTCTGCTGTCCCCCAGGCCCTTACTGCTGAACGGCCCATGCACACCCCATGGAAGTCAGTGTAGACGGAAGGGGCCCGGATGCACGAGGCCCCCGCTCCTTACCTTGGCCTCGAAGAAGCTCTTGGCACCCTTGACGCCCTCAGTGGAGACGTCGATCTCGGAGAGGCGGGCCAGCACGTGCAGCCCGCTGTCCTCCTGCAGCTCCCCGGCTGCCGCCTTTCGGAAGATCAGGAGAAACTGCAGAGGGAAGGGTGTGAGGAGTCAGGAGGGGACCCCAGGGGCCAAAGTCCCTGCCACACCAGGCCCAGCCTTAGGCTTCTGCCCACTGGGAGCTGAAGAGCTGGGTCTCACCCCTCTGTGCCTGTCCCTCCCTCTCTGGGTCTCAGTTTGCCCATCTGCACAATGGGAGGCCAGGCGACTCATCTGCTCTGTCCACATTCAGCTCCCGCTGACAGCCACAGCCCACTTTTCATCTCCCAATGCTCCCCAAACATTTCATTTGTTTCTTTTGTAAGGAAGGCTCAGAGACAGCAGTTGCCTGAAGTCTCAGTGCCAGAAGGATCCAAACTTGTATCCTCTGACTTCAAAAGGCTCCCTAGGCTGCCTGCACCTTCCTGCCCCTCTCCCTGGCCTCTTTTAGCTTCCAGCTGGCTTCCCCAGGCCAGGACTCTCCCAAGGGCCCCCCTACAATCTGTCTCATGCTCCCTAGGGTTGAGTGTCATTGCCACCTGGTTTTGAGACCCCTTTTCCTTCCCGGAGAACAGAGCAAGGACCAAGATTCTGAGTGTGAAGTCACCCAGCACTGTGACCAGTCCGCGTCACTCAGGGACAGAGGGGCTGGTCTCCTGCTGGCCAAGGCTCACCTCCCGGAAGCTGAGCTTGCTGTCAAAGTCCTCATCCACTTCCTTGATCATGTTCTTCAGGCCCAGGTGGGTCTGGGGAGCCCCAAGTTTCTCCATCATGAGCTTTAGCTCCATCAGATCAATGAAGCCATCTCGCCCAGCGTCGTACCTGTGAGTGCAGACAGAGGCCTAAGGACATCTCAGTACACTTTAATATCTGAGGCCACAAGGTTAGTGAGGCCACAAGGTTAGTGCAGGAATCCTAGGGGCTCAGAGGATGCCTCCTCCCATTGTATTGATGCAGGAGATGAAATATGAAAATACTGTATCTCCCAACCTGTCAGATGTTTGATATGACAAGTTTGTGATTTCTAAAAAGCAAAGAATGAATTTTAGGAACAACAGAGGTTAAGAGTAGGAAAATATTTATCTCAGGATAGCTTGTGAGAGGCAGGAGGAGACCTGAATGGGTAGCTGGGGACCCCACTTTACAGGGGAGTTTTATAGAACAAAACTCACATGGGTTACAGCTATAATCACCCAATAAAGTTACAAGTACAGTCGCTTGGGTAATAGTGATTCGATGGGGAAACAAGTCACATAACAAGTGTGCATGGAAAGAACAAAGACTTTTTCTAGGAAATGATGGGTCTGGAGGTCTTGGTCACTTAGCAGGGTGACTAATGTCTATCTAGACTTCATTAGGCCAGGTATTTGTCTTTTGAGGAAGTATGCAGGCTTGGTCATTTTGTGTCTATCTTGAGGCCAGGTCTCTAACACATGTCTCTGGCCAGTTGTGATATGTAGCCCTGACTGCCTATAACATTTCTACCTAACTTAGCTGACTATAATACTGTCATCTGTCATGGGTGGAAGGGACCTCAGCCCAGGCAGAGCTCTGACACGTGTAATGATGGGGAACTCACTGTTCTGCCTGACAGCTCCTGCATGGTGGACAACGCTTTCTACCAAGTCTGTAGCACAAGGAAACTGAATCTACAGCCACTGAGTACTAAAGGTGACAGGACTGAGTGGTGAGACAGAACCCAGAGCCCACAGGGTGTGGACCCATCTCTGAGATGAGCCCTCTGTCTCCAGCAGTTCCTGGCTATGGGCATCGCCATGAACACTGAGGAATCTCTCAGCCCACACCTTGGCTCCACTTCCGGTGGGAGAGCTTGTGGGCCAGGGCAGGTGAAGGCTTGCTGTGGGGGTTTCCTGTGAGCTGCAAGATGTCTCCAGTGCCCCCACTCCCCACCCCTGTGCTGTGACAGCCAAATGTGTCTTCCAGGCATTAGGACATATAGGGGGATAACCACCCCCAAGTTGAGAAGCACAGGCTATAGGACTGAAAGGTGGCCACTCGTTTTTCTGTGCTGGGAATCAAACTTTAGGACCCCAGCTTATGTGCAGCCCCTGGTGCAGGGAGGGTAAAAAGCACCCAATAGGAGCTGTGGGTGTTGCATGAATAAATAACCCATGGATGAACACAGGGCTGCCTGTGCCTGTGGGTCTCTGCCCATCTTATCAAGGAGGGAGGCCCAGGCAGGGCCAAGGGTCACAGCAGGAGGGGCAGGCTTGGGGCGTGGCAAGGAACAAGCCATGCGCTGAGCTCTGGGAGTGGCGGAGAGTCCGGGCAGCCTGGCACAGGGACAGTGACTCAAGGCCTCTGGCCTGTACCCTGCCTTTCCCTCTTCTACCCTGAAACCGTAGGCGTGGGGGGAGGGCTGAAATGTGGCCTCTAGGCCAGTCCCCTGCTGGGGGAGGCCACACAGCCCTCTTATCAGGCTGTCCAAACACCTGCCCTGCCTGTCTCCCAGGACAGCTGGGGAGGGGGTGGGGTGGCAAACAGGCTTTCCCTGCAAATGCAAACTTGTGCAGGCCCAAGACCTCCAGGTGGCTGAGTGACAGCACTGTTGGAGACAGTGGCGAAGACAGAGAGGCTATGTCCTGGGACCTTGGACACCCTAAAGGAACACACAACTCATTCCTGGACTGTCTTTAGGCATCACCTGCTCCCTCCTCTAGTTAGACATAAGCTGCACGCCTCATAGCAACTGTTTCCTGGCATCTGCCTTTGTGCTGGAAAATTCACTTAACCTCTCTGAGCCTACAACTGGCTCAGAGATGTTAAGTGACCTGCCCAACATCACACAGCAGTCAGGAGGGGATAGGCTTCCATCCCAGGTCCATCAGGCTCATAAACAGGCATATTTGGTCTGTGTCCAGCCCCCTGCCCGTATCATGGGGCCACCTGCAGAGCACAGACTGTGTCTGCCTGGAGAAGAGGGGAGCATTTGGCCCAGAAATAGTTCCCAAGAAAGTTAGTGGTTGGAAGTGACAGCACAAAAAGATGGGACTTGGGAACCCTGGAGGAAACACCAGGTCCCCAGGCTGCCTTCTTGCCCTAGGGAGAGGGTTGGGTGGAAGTAGACAGGCAGAGGGGGCTAGGAGACTGGGGTGATGACAGAGTCCCTCCCTGCAGCTCTGTAGCACCTGGGCAGCAAAGGTGCCTGCCCTGGGCTCAGAACCCTCCTGTGCCTGTCAGGCACACCAAGCCCCCACCTCTCTCTGGACTTGGGCTCCAAGGTAGCTCAAGGTCAGCGGGAGCCAGGCTGCCTGGGCTCCTCACCAGCACAGCCCCGTGGTCCTTAAGGGTGCCCAGATGCTGCTAAACAGCACAGGACACAGGTCAGTCCCCCATAGATGGCTCAGCCCTGGTGTGAGTGGCACTGAGGTGAAGAAGCCCTGATGGGGCGGATGGTGCTGCTGACGGGGAGGGTGGACTGAGCTTGGACCTGCTGAGCACTTCACAAAGATCCTGGCACAGCACACAGACCTGCTCTGTACATAGCAGCTACACCACACTAGTGAGGGTTCATCTGTGCTGACCACTTGCATTTAAAGGCCCTGTTCTCCACACCCCTGCAAGGTCAGGGGAGGACCAGGGACTCAGACCCAGGCCTAGGTGCCCCATGACCACTCCCCTCTGAGCCCCAGCTGTCTTCACTGCTGGAATGTGTAAATTTCTCCCAGAGATACAGCAGAGGAACAAAACCCACGTGGTTTCTCAGAGGAAGTGCAGATAAAGTGTCCAAACTTGGAGGGAACTTAGTTTCTGGATCATCTACTCCTGGCAGCTCCCAGGCCTGGCTAGGCCGAGGCTCAAACTGTGGTTTGAACAGTTGCCTGTATCTATCAGGGGCCAATCAATTACCGGGGCGGGGCTCCCTCCCTGGCAGGCTCCGGCCCCAAGGGGACAGTGCAGGGGCTGGCCTCGGTGCCAACACATCCATCACCAAGGCCAGGAGGAAGCAGCCTTGGAGGGGCTGTTCCCGAGAGCCCCTGGGACCAGACACCGCCAAGTGGCCTAGGCCTGGGGTCAGCCCGATGGCAGATGGCCTTGTGGCGGTGTGCTCAGACCTGGATCCAAACCCCAGCTCTGCCGTCTGCTGGCTGGTGACCTTGGCACCAAACCCCACAGACCTCAACTTCCCCAGGCACATCAGTGACTGGCATTAGCACTGAGATGAGGATCAGAAGAGCTGATGGGAATTTTATACCTTTAGTTCAGAGCCTGGCCCACAGGAGACATGAATACATGCTAACAGCCGCCAATTATCATTGCTGTTCCCTTCTGCCTTTAGGATTAAGGAGTAAATGCAATTATGGATTATAGCTATAAAATGGCCAGCACATAGTAGGTACTTAAAGCCTGTTATTTTCTTTATTATAACAATGGTTGTTATATGGACTTTTTTTTTTTTTTTTTTTGGTCAGACATGGGGATTGAACCTAGGGCCTTTGGACTGAGCTACATTCTCAGCTCTTAAATTTTTTAAAATTTTGAGACACAGTCTCACTAAGCTGCCCAGCCTGGGCCTAAACTTGCAATCCTCCTGCCTCAGCCTTCCAGAGTGCTGGGATTATAGGTATGTGGTACAATACCCAGATACATTAAGTACTTTACACATTTAGTATTTAAAAATGGTGATATTGGTAATGATGAAAAATACACTGGCTTCTCCCAGGGGCTCCAGTCCTGACAGTGCAGGGCTGGGGGGAAAGGCTCATGCGGGACTGGCCTGGTCCCACCATCTACTCCTCTACAGCCCAACTGAAAGACCCTGCAGCCTGGGAGCAGTGGAAGGGCAGAGGCTATGGGACAGGCAGGAGAGGAGCTTACCCTGTCTCTCTGCTCTCCTTCTCTGAATGAGGGAAGTGACGAAGGGGAGACTGTCGCTGTGCAGCCTGCAGGTAGAGTCCTGCATATGCCTGGCCTGGGTGGACCTCTCCTCCAGTGCCCTTTTCCCTGAGTGGGGACTGAGGCTCAGAGGGTCCAGGAGCAGGGAGGTCACCCCGAGGATCCATCCACAGCCTCCATCTGCTTCCCATTATGGAGTGGCTTGGGGACCAGAGAGCAGCCAGCAGCCTGAGGTCACACTGGACTTCAGATTCTGCGGGCTGGAAGCTTTCTTTCTCCCCTTGTCCCTGTCCCAGAGGGTCCCATATTCTTGGGCTTGGGGGACTGGGAAGGCTGGGCTGAGAACCCTGCGTGGGGCCTGCTTGGGAAGCCAAGGCCATCCAGCAGGACGAGCAGCAAAGCCTGCAGGCTGGGAGCTCAGCACCTTTCTCCATCCCCAGAGGGAGGCTGCGGGCCTGGCATCATGCCCACATTCCTACCCGCCTCCCCTGAATAGTTCTCAGCAGCTGCTGCCCGGGACACTGGTGACAGAATCCCTCCCATCCCCCAGGCAAGTCCACACTGGCTGCCAACCAGCTCTGGCCCACCCCACTGGCTGTTTCTCTGCTCCTGGACCCTACCAGTTCTGATAACCAAGGGGCCTTGGTCAGCACTGGCTACTCTGCTGAGCCTTTACTACCCATGTGTTTGGCACCAGATCTTTATAAGAACTCTGCAAAGCAGGCATAAACATCCCCACTTAACAGATGAGGACACTGAGGGTCAGAAAGGAAGTGAACTGGCCAAGGTTAGAGGCAACAAGGGTGTAGCTGGAACTCAAATCAGGCCCGACAGAGAAGGTGCCACATCCTGCTGCCTAGGGAGTGTATCAGAGTACTTCAGGGTTGGAAGGCCATTTCATTTCCTGTCAAGAGGATCAATGCAGTTTTCCTGCTTGGTCTCTTGATTACCTCCAAAGCCAGGAC